CTGATCAATCCTATTTGAGTCAGAAAAATATATTCATATGATAGGTAAGACATACAAAACCTTGCAGAGAACTGACAATCTCTAAGAAAAAAATATAAACTATTGGAACCAAGACTTAAAAATAACTGATATTGGCACAAGAAGGAGGGAATGTTGGAACATAACTAACGAAATTACAGTTAACGAAAATGTACACTTAATCCAGTATAAACTAATGTACACTCTAAAAATTAGGGGTTCAACAGGGGTTCTTCTAAGATCGTCAAAGTTCTTCGAAGAACCTTAGGGTTCTTGGCACTGAAAATTGCCCCCAAAAGTTAATTCCAAGAACCCCATAAGCGGTAGGGTTAATCGACGAACCTACTTAGTTGGTGGGGGTTCTTGCAGGAACCTAACTGCCCAACTGAAACATTTGGATTTGAATTTGAAAGGACAGCAGGTGCAGGCACCTAACTTAAACATTTTAAGATCTCCTCCATTTATGGTAAGGTTTGTCCCTTGTATGATCTAACTTGATATTGTTTTATGATGATAGCATCTATCTTTTCATATTTGTGCAAATGACTGTGCTGTTTGACACTTTCTCCCTTTCACAAATCTTTCTAAAACAGAAAATGGACCCAATTCAATGGATATCAATCAACAAAGAGGTAAGAATATGTAGGCTATAAGAATATGTTGAAGGCTGCTGTATTGGCTGCAGATGACTGAACTGCTCACTTTTGTGTCTGTGTCTGCAGGTATACAGACAAGGAGGCATACAAAGGTATGTCAGTTGGTATTGGTATGTTATGCAGATCACATTTACCATCCTCCTTCCTTACCTCGTCAATGAATATCCCATAGGACTCTACATTATGGACAAGGTGTGTGTATGAAAACCATTATCAAAACAGTTTTTTTCATTCACATTTACCACAATAACCAAGGTATGAATATTGTCATGTGCATGTTTTGTTAATCATCTGTATAATTACTATTTTTTGGATTCACAGACTTCACCCTCCCTACACCTGTTAAATCACCACGCACTGCAAAATCATTCTGGCTGCGGATAGGGAGAACATCAACACATTAACATCAACACGCCAGAGGATATACCCATTGGACTTGGGGCTCTGCTGGGAGTTTACCTCACATTTTGATTTTTTAATTCTGCTTTGCCACCAAAATCATAATAAACAACTAAAATATTGTGTTATTCTTATGTTTATTATTATTAATAGTAGTAGTTAAAAAATTAACTCCAAACGGTTCTTAAAAAGGTTATTCGAGGATCCATTAAAAGGGGTTATTTGAAGAACCCTTTTAAAGAGTTCTTCAAATAACTTACAGGGGTTCCCCCACAGTTTCAATTTGAAGAACCCGCAAAGTATACTCCAGGAACCTTATCTTTTTAGAGTGTTTAGAATATATCACACAAGAGACAAAATTCACAAACGCTACAGCACAATGGCAGAGTCGTGTCGTAAGTGTAAAACAAAACAACGACTCAGTCCATGCTTCTTGGAACGCTATAATGTCCAAAGGTTGTGGGCGGAGTACGGTTAGCTGTCAGAAGTATTACAATGTAAATGTACTTTTAATCCGTCTGTCAGCATATTTCAAGAAATGGCATATGAGGGTGCAGTGAGATACCCGATGGGTTGGACGCAGGGCCGGTCCTGGCTGTTCTGCCACCCTAGGCAAGACAGATCATTTTGTTGGTCCGGGACATGACCAAAAAAAGACATCCAAAAGACGTTGGCGTCGGCCCGTGCTTACTGGGGTGTAGCCTACAGTGTCTCCAGCAATATGATTTTATAAATGCCCATCCATGTGTTAGGACCACCGTTTGGAAAACAAGCCGTTACATTGGCTTTATTAGTCCTGATTCCTGTGACTAATCAATTTGTCTATTTAAGCTCTGAATATCAACTACCCAACTTTATCAGGAGTTATCCTGAGCCTATTTGCAATGTGTTTACACAGTGGGAAATCAGAAGTATTTTATTTTTCGCCATGATCAGCTTGTAAAAAAATTGATCATGACAGTTTGCATGAAACCACTGATCATAACAATTTATCCCACTGGGTGAAACTCCTGGACAGCAGTTGTGAGTAGCCATTTGGGTTAGGCTATTTGATTGGATACACCTGCATGATGTAAAAAGTGTCTGTCTCATTACATTATATACATTTTATCTCCAGCCTGTAGCCTACAGAAAAGGCCACATACTCTTTCTACCATATGCTATATCCAGGGGTGAAAGTAGAATTCATTTCTTGCCGGTATGGGACCAAGTGCGTGCACCAACATTTTTTATGGGCCTAATCATAGAATTCCATATACAATCCCTATTCATTCAATAGGATCTCTGTGGGCCTAGTCATAAAGATTTGTCATTTAACTTTTAAAATGTATTACCTTTTATTGTGGCATAAACACAACCAGTCCATATGTTTTCATCTGATTGTCAAAGGAAAGAGTCATCTGTTACACAAAACACCAAAAAGTGTAATGACAAATTTGGCTGTTGTCATTAGGCCAGAATTTATGCGTCTACTGGCGCGTTTCGGTGTCGACCACTCATCTCTGGCTTGGCAAAATGTCCAATAGGGTCCAGCTGCAACCATATAAGGAGAAGTGGGGGGTTGAAAGGAGTCTTTTAACACTAGAAGTCCTGGGATTCCATAACTACTAGAAACACCATGACTTGATATTACAATTATTATTATTATTTCAAATTGTAAAATTAATACATTTTTATAAGTTAAGGTAGCTATCGTTAGCTAGCATTTACATTTACGAAAAACTTAACGTTACATACATGGCTACCAGTAGGTAACGTTCAAAGATAGTTTTTTTGTTGCATAACTGAAATTCCTTACTGTCATCTCTGCAGACCATGACTAACATCCGATAACCCAAACGAAGTCTTGAGTGGCACCTTTCAAAACCCCCACTTATCCTTATATGTTTTTTTTCTTCGAAATCCCCACTTCTCCTTATATGGTTCCTTTCCAAATCCCCACTTCTCCTTACATGGTTCCTTTCCAAACCCCCACTTCTCCTTATATGGTTCCTTTCCAAACCCCCACTTCTCCTTATATGGTTCCTTTCCAAACCCCCACTTCTCCTTATATGGTTCCTTTCCAAACCCCCACTTCTCCTTATATGGTTCCTTTCCAAACCCCCACTTATCCTTATATGGTTCCTTTCCAAACCCCCACTTATCCTTATATGGTTCCTTTCCAAAACCCCACTTATCCTTATATGGTTCCTTTCGAAAGGCCCACTCCTTTCGACACCCCCACTTTTCCTGACAGATGCTCTGATTGATGACCTATCAGTAGGTGGCAGCATAGAGACGCTGAGGGATGACTGCTCTGAGAGATGACATCGCAGCTGGACCCCCTTTCAAAATGTTACTGTTCTCAATGTCACTGTTCTCTTAGAACCACATTGCATTTCAGTGTAGGCTATACCGCCCGTTTTCAAGGCTATTTGCTCATTTTTCATGCCTCTGACATGCGGTAATGATAAAAAGTGATGTAATAGCCTAAAGTTTTCTGGAAATGTTTATTTAATTATTGTGAATGGCTCATGTTTTACACTGGCTATATCTGCTACATGCTTTATGTTAGATGATTATTTTTAACGGAACATTGGTGGAGCGCCTCAGTGATGCGTCTCTCCAACAGCACCATCCCTGGAGAGGCGCGCTGGGAATGGACAAGCAAAATATTTTGCTGACCTGCCTTTGACAAAGTGGGCACTGCTTATCACAGGGCGGCATCAGCGCTCACCTAAAAAAACTCATATGCCACTGGTTGAGAGAAATTGTCATGGTTTTTGGGCAGAATGATGTGAGGTTTTATGTGTTGCTGGAGGTGCGTCTTGGTCACTTTAGCTCTGAAGATTCTACCCTCGTCAATCTGCCACCATAGGCAGCTGCCTAATCCTGCCTAATGAGCGGGCCGGCCGTAGGTGGATGATACTTTTCTCGTCAAGCATCTTGATAAAAACAAATCCTCCATCATTAACACAATGGTAAGGTCAAATACTTTATTATCTAAATGTTGAAAGTGTGTGGGCGACAGAGAGAAACAAAAGGGTGACTGCTGGAGAAGGGGTGTGAGCAGGTGGGTCTGGGCTGGGGTGATGTTGTGGATGTTTGTGTGCGTCTGTATGTTGTCGTTTGTATGTGGATGTTTTGTATGCTAAAGCTGAAAACAATCATTTTAAAAACAGTGATTCAAATCAATATATACAGTAGCAGTCAAAAGTTTGGACACACCTACTCATTCAAGGGTTTTCTTTATTTTAACTATTTTCTACATTGTAGAATAACAGTGAAGACATCAAAACTATGAAATAACACATATGGAATCATGTAGTAACCAAAAAAGTGTTAAACAAATCAAAATATATTTTAGATTTGAGATTCTTCAAAGTAGCCACCCTTTGCCTTGATGACAGCTTTGCACGCTCTTGGCATTCTTTCAACCAGCTTCATGAGGTAGTCACCTGGAATGCATTTCAATTAACAGGTGTGCCTTGTTAAAAGTTAATTTGTGGAATCTCTTTCCTTCTTAATGCGTTTGAGCCAATCAGTTGTGTTGTGACAAGGTAGGGGTGGTATACAGAAGATTTGGTAAAAGACCAAGTCCATATTATGGCAAGAACAGCTCAAATAAGCAAAGAGAAACGACAGTCCACCATTACTTTAAGACATGAAGGACAGTCAATCCGGAAAATTTCAAGAACATTGAACGTTTTTTCAAGTGCAGTCGCAAAATCCATCAAGCGCTATGATGAAACTGGCTCTCATGAGGACCGCCACAGGAAAGGAAGACCCTGAGTTACTGCAAGTAATGATTTCACTGCACCGTTCATAATTGCTGTAATCTGTGGATGTGACGAATACACTTTGATTTGATTTACATGTATCAATGATGTCATATTTATTCTGTCTGAAAGAACCCACCTGCCCCTCCATCTCCATAGCTGTCCAGTCTCAGTGTGTATCTGTAGTTCTCTGGATCAATGGAGAAGGAGGTGTAGTAAACCTTCCCTCCCTCATGTCCTCCCTCAGCTCACTGCTCTCCCTCGTCATCAGGAGGAAGATGTTGTCCAGACCTCAGGGAGGACAGGGTCAGAGTAGAGTCAGTGTAGATTCAGTTGAGTTCTCTTCAGTTGATCAATTACACTCAATTGAAATCAATCCAAATCCAAAGGGTCACTCTTCATTTGTTTCGCAAACTGCTTGGAAATATTTATATCACATAGTTCATCAATCATAATATTGAGTAAGTGTAGGGACTCACCCAGCCAGTACTCTCCAGCCACGTTCCCAAAGCCAGCTTTGTAGTGAGCCCAGAGTCTGTAGAAGTCCCGTGTAGCTCAGTTGGTAGAGCATGGCGTTTGCAACGCCAGGGTTGTGGGTTCGATTCCCACGGAGGGCCAGTATGAAAATGTACGCACTCACTAACTGTAAGTTGCTCTGGATAAGAGCGTCTGCTAAATTACTAAAATGTCAAATGTAAGTTCTCTGTTCCATCCATTCTCCTCTGGAACACCTGTGATAGGAGGAGAAGGAGAGAGAGAGAGAGAGAGAGGGGGAAGGAGAGAGAGAGATTAGAGAGGATAGGTAGAGAAGAGAGAGAGAGAGAGGGGCTTGTGTTTTGTGGTGTTTTCCATCATATTCATAAGTAGAGATGAGTCAGATTATAATATACAGGAGAGAGGATGGTTTGTTAGGGGGAGATAACTACACTATAATAACTATAATGATCTGTACACATATATCCTCCATAACATTAACACTATAATACATATTCTATCATATCTGGTATCAGCCTTCAGGTCCCATTCACCCCTACACCTTAGACAAACCTCATATCAAAGTCGTCACTTACTACCAAACGTCTCTCTTCTATTATCTATCTACCTCAATATCTTTCATAGCCCAAGTCCCATTAGGTCCCATACTAACAAAATATGAATCTACCGTCTCAGCCATCCCATTTAGGTTCTCTATTACTTATGTGATCATTACCTGATGCATCTATTCGATCCCTATTCAGGTCCCCCAAATCATAACTATCTTAATTGTACTCCCAGCCCATCGTCCCCATTCAGGTCCCATTCACAGATATCCCCCATTCTGGTCAATCAGCCCTCAAGTCCATCAGGTCCCCATATATAACCTATATCAATCATCACCACCCCCCGGAACATTTAAACACCCCTTTAGAATACGAAGGCTAAACATCCTTCTACCCCACCCAAAAAACATAAAATTAAGGGTTACCACTGAATCAAGCACCATTGTAATCCTACATAAAGGCTGCTAAAGACGAAGTAAATGTAAAAATATTGGTCTCAGCCCTAAATTCCGTCCATTGTTAGATCTCTGTTACATGTTCTGTACTGAGTCCCAAATGAACCCATATCTCTATAGTGAAACTATTCCAGACCAGGACACACAAAGGACACCCACACATTTTTAAACACAAACATCCAAAACCGATCAAATAATAAATAATTCAAATATTACTGCAGATACACAACTCAGGAACAAGAAAACCCAAAAGCACAAACACAAACAACCACAAACGCAGTATTAAAGCAAACCCAAGTTTTTATTCTATTACTGAACCAGGGATTTTTACAGTTGTCCTACATGCATGGACGGTCAAATCTGTAGATGGTAAGTCTTTACGTCTATACAATTATTTATTAAATTTTTGCACATAAATGATCTGTTTGGTATAATGAGGGCCTTGAGGGAAAAAATGGGCCGGCGGGCAAAAAATACCAGAGACAATTTGTGGTCCCGGTCAAGGAGTACCTGGCATCTGGTCATCAGCCCTCAGGTCCCCATTCAGGTCCCCCATATCATAACACTATAATATCATATCATATCTGGTCATCAGCTCTCAGGTCCCCATTCAGGTCCCCCATATCATAACACTATAATCATATCATATCATATCTGGTCATCAGCCCTCAGGTCCCCATTCAGGTCCCCCATATCATAACACTATAATATCATATCATATCTGGTCATCAGCTCTCAGGTCCCCATTCAGGTCCCCCATATCATAACACTATAATCATATCATATCATATCTGGTCATCAGCCCTCAGGTCCCCGTTCAGGTCCCCCATATCATAACACTATAATATCATATCATATCTGGTCATCAGCCCTCAGGTCCCTGTTCAGGTCCCCCATATCATAACACTATAATCATATCATATCATATCTGGTCATCAGCCCTCAGGTCCCCATTCAGGTCCCCCATATCATAACACTATAATCATATCATATCATATCTGGTCATCAGCCCTCAGGTCCCTGTTCAGGTCCCCCATATCATAACACTATAATCATATCATATCATATCTGGTCATCAGCCCTCAGGTCCCCATTCAGGTCCCCCATATCATAACACTATAATACCATATCATATCTGGTCATCAGCCCTCAGGTCCCTGTTCAGGTCCCCCATATCATAACACTATAATATCATATCATATCTGGTCATGAGCCCTCAGGTCCCTGTTCCGGTCCCCCATATCATAACACTATAATACCATATCACATCATATCTGGTCATCAGCCCTCAGATTCCCGGTCCAGTTGTTTAGATCTCTGAGTTAACACGTGTTCTGTATCTGAGTCCCAAATGACACCCTATTCTCTATATAGTGAACTACTTTGGACCAGAGTCCAGGGGACTACAAAGGGAATAGGGTACCATCCCACGTCTGTATTTGTTTTTATTAGGGATCCCCATTAGCTACTCCAGAGACCTGGGATCAAATAGTATTTGAAATAATTTCAAATATTTTAGCTAGGCATGATTGAGAATTGCTGTTTGCAATGGAAGCAATGGAAAAGTCCCAAAAGTACAAACCACGCCCATCTGGCACGCCGGGAAGGTTAAAGCAAACGCACAAAGTATTTTTTTTATTTCAAATATTATCTGAATCCAGGTGTTCTGGTTGGACCAGATCCTTCCTGGTATTGACAGGTCTATAAATGTGATGAACATGAAGATAAGGCCTTTAGGTCTGTAGAAAAACATCACACATTGATGGTGATGATGGTTGTGATGATGATGGTGATGATGATGATGGTGGTGATGATGATGCAGATGGTGATGATGGTATTGATGAGGATGATGATGGTAGTGATTATGATGGTGATGATTATGATGATGATGATTATGATGATAGTAATGATGGTGATGATGGTGATGATTATGATGATGATTATGATGAATATGAGGATGATGAGGATGATGAGGAGGATGAAGATGATAATAATTAATGCACACAACCATTTTGCAGTGAAAACACTAAGATCATGTTACAACCTTGACTATGACACATTCAGCCATCCAATCAGACTGATTATAATAAATACATTAATATGTACATACAGTAAATAAAAAGACAGAGTGAATTTGTCTTTTCAAATGCTTTAATTATTATTTGAGTAAATTAACATTTGAATCAAGAGACAGAGAGCCCATCTTGCTGTTATAACATGATGCACTACTTTAACAGCCAAGATGGCAGTAATAGTGATGATGTGAGAAAAAAAAAAAACATTGTAAAGTGGTTATCCCACTGGCTATAAGGTGAATGCACCAATTTGTAAGTCGCTCTGGATAAGAGCGTCTGCTAAATGACGTAAATGTAAATGTAAATGTAATAGAGGCAGGTATGTTACTCCTGCTCCTGGACAGCCACAGCATCAGAGACAGCCCTGATCTTAAAGGAAATGCTTTTCAGAGAGTAGTTATCCCCTTTCCAGTGATACCAAGAAACATACACATTAGTGAAAGAAGTTGCCGGATGTGGGGCATACAGGGCGTTAGGGTTGGCATGAAAACAGGCACCGTACCAGAATCCACCCATGTTGCGCCTGGACACGCGCCACCAGGTGTCCTGGTCTTCGTAGGTGCTAACTTCATGCGTTGCTATCACATGGAGTCTGAATCACCATCAGCAGAGCAGTAGCCTGGTTAAACCAAATCAACAGACAAGACAGTGCCTGGTTACAGATACCACAGACGAATAGCTGGTAACCGACCACAGAGACATACCGTTAACCAGATCCAGCACGACACATGTGCCTGGTACAACCAGATGGTCGCAACAGACGTAGCCTGGTCCAGATACAGTCGCAAGCACGTAGCCTGTTAAACCAATACCAGCAGACAAGACACGAGTCCCTGGTTAAACCAGATAGCAGACAGAGCACAGTAGCCTGGTTAAACCAGATACCAGCAGACAGACAGTAGCCTGGTTAAACCAGATACCAGCAGACAGAGCACAGTAGCCTGGTTAAACCAGATACCAACAGACAGAGCACAGTAGCCTGGTTAAACCAGATACCAACAGACAGAGCACAGTAGCCTGGTTAAACCAGATACCAGCAGACAGAGCACAGTAGCCTGGTTAAACCAGATACCAGCAGACAGAGCACAGTAGCCTGGTTAAACCAGATACCAGCAGACAGAGCACAGTAGCCTGGTTAAACCAGATACCAGCAGACAGAGCACAGTAGCCTGGTTAAACCAGATACCAGCAGACAGAGCACAGTAGCCTGGTTAAACCAGATACCAACAGACAGAGCACAGTAGCCTGGTTAAACCAGATACCAGCAGACAGACAGTAGCCTGGTTACACCAGATACAGTAGTCCAGTAAATAAATAAAATATTAGTATAGAAGCGTGAAAATTGGCACACTTGTATAACTTTTCGCGCTGAACAAAACATATATAGATATAGTGCCATTTCAGCAAAGCTCCAGGTCAGCCTGTAGCGCCCTGTAACACCGGTAAAGGCAATAACTTTATGATTTGTAATAACTTTTTGATTTTTTTATGTAATAAACCCAGTAAACGTAATAAAATGTTGAACGGTAAACATAATAACTTTTTCCGCTAAAAGTAATAAGTTATTACGTGATCTAGGGGACATTCAATGCTGCAGACATTTTTTGATACCCTTCCCCAGATCTGTGGCTCGACACAATCCTGTCTCGGAACTCTACGGTCAATTCCTTCGACCTCATGGCTCGTGTTTTTGCTCTGACATGCACTGTCAGCTTTGGGACCTTACAGTCCATTCGGAAAGTATTCAGACCCCTTGACTTTTTCCACATTTCGTTACGTTACAGCCTTATTCTAAAATTGATTATATCATTTTTTTGGGGCTGGGCCTCTCAAGGACATTCAGAGACTTGTCCCGAAGCCACTGCGTTGTCTTGGCTGTTGTCCTGTTGGAAGGTGAACATCTCAAGGATGATCAATGGAAACAGGATGCACCTGAGCTCAATTTTGAGTCTCATAGCAAAGGGTCTGAATACTTATTTAAATAATGTATTTCTGTTGTTTATTTTTTTTGCAAAAATATCTAAAACCTGTTTTTGCTTTGTCATTACGGCATATTGTTTGTAGATTGATGAGGGCATTTAAAAAATGTAATCCATTTTACAATAAGGCTGTAACATAACAAAATGTGGAAAAAGAGAATGGGTCTGAATACTTTCCGAATGCACTGTACACCCCCAGGAAGAATTTGACAACTTTTTTCTTCTTCTGACAAGCGAGCACTTAGATATGGTCATTTTGACATTTCCATACTTTCATAGAATGTTTGGGAATGACGTATTTGTGAAAATTCTATAGCAATATAGAGTGAGAAAGCGGCCATGCTTTTGGACAATTAAGAGACACTGCAGTAAATAAAACCGAATAAAATCATCTGTCTTGTCCAGGACCAGACTCTAGACAAACCGGTGCGCCATAGCCAATCAGAGCTACAGTAGGCCTATATGCAAATAAAACAGAACGACTTTAGATCATAAGAATGCATTCACCAAAAGCCACAAAATACACCTGAATGGATTTCTGCAAATATGTAAATACCACGAGAGTCCTCTTACATTTGGGAACTTTACAGTCCTATTGCTCAAAAACATTATGGAAGTGTGCCAATTTTCAACAATATGGTATTTTTTGGGAGCTTATTTACTGGACTAAAAGGCCATCCACACCAAGGACGATCATTATAATGAGAACTGTAATGATACAAAAAAAAAAGAATCGTTCTAAGTCAAGTGAACAGAGCTTTCCCACTACAACGATAACTACAGAAAGACTGGAGAATGACGAGGAGCTATGGTTTGGATCCCTTTCAGAGCGATTGTTTCCCTCCAATGATAAAACCCTGACAACCAATCAAATTGCATTCTATTGAAGCGTTCTTGGTTCTAGGTGCGCGAGGCTGCGCAGAGAGGAGAGAAGGAAGAGCACACGGTAAACATCCCTGAATAACTGGGCATGTGTGAGCATATCGGTGGCCACATTCATTATAGGACGAATTTGGAGAATGATGATCCACCACAAACAGTGCATGAGAAGGTCGTACTTTTCCGATGGGAGCCCTATCTGTTAACTGCGATACATCCTGATGAAATACACACTGTGACTGGCCTACTAATATGCCTTTCTGGACCTTGTAAACTGTTGAGAAAAGACCCATTACTGATCCAAATGGTTGCCTAATCAGGCCTAGACAAGATTATTATTATTTGTGAATGAAACATGCATTCAAAACGCAGAGCTTTTTAGTGGTTATTTAAATGGCATATTCACTGCAGTTTATGGCCTAGACTAGAACTCTTTACTCACTGTAAAAAACAAAAGTAAAAAAGAATTGCATTGTGTTGTATGATCATTTTCTTGTCCCCAAAAAAGTATTAGTAGTATTAGGACTAATATTTAGCTAATGCATGATGGGTTGCATACGCTTCTAACTTACACCTTGATCACTCCGACAGCGTCCTTGCGTTTTGGTACAGCAGAAGTACATTCATTTCCAATGGAAAGCTGTGTTTGCCTTGCAGCATTGCAGAGGCAGTTGCAGTGCGTTCTGTGTGGTGTATAAATTGGATTTATCGAACGTGTGCATCAAACTGTATGCGTGGATGGCTTGACAGAAATGGTAGCAGAAGGTGAATGTTGAGCTTTTGTTGCACACATCTCCAGATGATGCTGCTTACCATTTTGCACAAAGATGCTGTCAGTGTGATCGAGGCTAGACATGCTGACTAGACGCCATGTTGATTTTGCTCATCCACACCAGACGCGATCAGGACACACAGGTTGAAATATCAAAACTAACTGAACCAACTATATTAATTTGGGGACAGGTCGAAAAGCAGCTAGCTTGCTGTTGCTAGCTAATTTGTCCTGGGATATAAACATTGGGTTGTTATTTTACCTGAAATATACAAGGTCCTCTATAAGTCTACACATACACTACCAGTCAAACGTTTTAGAACACCTACTCATTCAAGGGTTTTTCTTTATTTGTACTATTTTCTACATTGTAGAATGATAGTGAAGACATCAAAACTATGAAATAACACAGATGGAATCATGTAGTAACCAAAAAAGTGTTAAACAAATCAAAATATATATGAGATTTGAGATTCTTCAAATAGCCACCCTTTGCCTTGATGACAGCTTTGCACACTCTTGGCATTCTCTCAACCAGCTTCACCTGGAATGCTTTTCCAACAGTCTTGAAGGAGTTCCCACATATGCTGAGCACTTGTTGGCTGCTTCTCCTTCACTCTGCGGTCCGACTCATCCCAAACCATCTCAATTGGGTTGAGGTAGGGGGATTGTGGAGGCCAGGTCATCTGATGCAGCACTCCATCACTCTCCTTCTTGGTCAAATAGTAAAATAGTAAAAATAAATAAAAACCCTTGAATGAGTAGGTGTGTCCAAACCTTTGACTGGTACTGTCTATGATAATAATAATTAAGTCCCCCCCACTTCTAAAACCAAAGTTGCGCCCCTGATTAAAAGATGAACTGAGGTCCACACTCCAGTCCAGTTGGTGGTGGTAATGCACCTTAAAGTTTAAATATTATTTTTCATTACATTTACATTGTAGTATTAAATGCAGTTGTCACTATGGCAACGACCACACCCTGATGCAGTTGTCACTATGGCAACGACCACACCCTGAAGCACTGAATGGTCTTGTGTTCCCACCTTATTAATAGTCCTACAGCGTGCAGTAGGATGCGTTGATCAGTTGATTGACAGGTGTACTGCTTAACAATAAACAATAAACAGTCCGCTGGTGTGGATGCTCGCCAACGTTTATAGTTATGTATAATTCATCATTATAGTTATGGTTATAGTTATCATCCTTGGTGTGGACAGGCCTTAAAGGAAAACTCCACCCAAAAACTATCTTGTGGTGTTTGTTTCATTAGTCCATTGTTGACATAGTCCCAAAATGATTTGCTTGTCAGCAATCAAGTTTTCAAGATACAGAAATCATTCCTGTAAAAATGCATCCTATGGGGATGATTTCTATAATTTGAAAGTTACATATTTTGAAAAGTTGATAGTGAAAAGCAAAACATTTTGGGACTATGTCAACAATGGACTAATAAAACAAATACCAAAAGATCGTTTTTGGGTGGAGTTTTCCTTTAAGACTGATGAAGAAGAAGAACTCACCTGCCCCTCCGTCTACATAACTACCCAGTCTCAGTGTGTATCCGTAGTTCTCAGGATCAATGGAGAAGGAGGTGTATTTAGCATTAACCTTCCCTCCCTCAAAGTCTTCCATGTCCACCCTCAGCTCACTCTTCTTCCTCATCGTCAGGAGGAAGATGTTGTCCAGACCTGACAAGAACAGAAAGCATAAAGGTCCTGTTACATTTCAGCCCCTAGCTCATTTCCTTACCTCCTATCCCCTTTCCTATAGCTCCTAACCCCTTCCCCTAGCTCCTAGCCCCTTCCTCTAGCTCCTAGCCCCTTCCTTTATCTCCTAGCCCCTTCCTCTAGCTCCTAACCCCCTTCCCTAGCTCCTAGCCCCGTCCTTTATCTCCTAGCCCCTTTCTCTAGCTCCTAGCCCCTTCCTCTAGCTCCTAACCCCTTCCCCTAGCTCCTAGCCCCTTCCCCTAGCTCCTAGCCCCGCCCTTTATCTCCTAGCCCCTTCCTTTATCTCCTAGCCCCTTCCTCTAGCTCCTAGCCCCTTCCTCTAGCTCCTAGCCCCTTCCTCTAGCTCCTAGCCCCTTCCTCTAGCTCCTAGCCCCTTCCTCTAGCTCCTAGCCCCTTCCTTTAGCTCCTAGCCCCTTCCTCTAGCTCCTAGCCCCTTCCTCTAGCTCCTAGCCCCTTCCACTAGCTCCTAGCCCCTTCCACTAGCTCCTAGCCCCTTCCTTTATCTCCTAGCCCCTTCCTTTATCTCCTAGCCCCTTCCTCTAGCTCCTAGCCCCTTCCTCTAGCTCCATGCCCCTTCCTCTGGCTCCTAGCCCCCTCCTCTAGCTCCTTGCCCCTCCTCTTGCTCCTAGATCCTTCCCCTAACTTCTTCTTGTTTGGTTTTCTGAGGAGGACTCACCCAGCCAGTACTCTCCAGCCACATTCCCAAAGCCAGATTTGTAGTGCGCCCAGGGTCTGTAGAAGTTCTCTGTTCCATCCATTCTCCTTTGGAACACCTGAGAGAGAGAGAGAGAGAGAGAGAGAGAGAGAGAGAGAGAGAGAGAGAGAGAGAGAGAGAGAGAGAGAGAGAGAGAGAGAGAGAAGGGAGGGAGGGAGGCATAGAGGGGGGAGACAAGGGAGGGAGAGAGATATTATTATCATACATTTTGCACCATCATCACATCACAAACATCACAGATGATCTATAAAGTTCTCTACTCACAGTCCACCTCCCTCCATCTGTGTCCATGTCACAGTAGACGTGCAGGGGTGTGATGGGACCCCCAGGGTAGATGGTGTACACCCCACTGGGTTTGGTGTTGTCATGTTGATAGATGTCGTCACAGTCCTGAGGGAGGTAGAACTGAGAGAGGACGGCTACAGGAGCCAGCAGAGACAGGAGCAAAAACACCTGGGAGACAGAGACAGGGAAAACATTCACAGAACGTTCACACAACATTCACACAACATTCAAACAACATTTAAAAAAACATTAAAACAACATTTACGTCACTGTTCAATGCCATCAGTGCAGTACATGCAGCAAAACAACCCAGAGTAGAGATACAGACACACGTAACCTCAGATGACATTCAGACAACTTTAGACCCACTTATAACCTCACATAACATTCAGACAACCGTAGACCCACACATAACCTCATATAACATTCAGACAACCGTAGACCCACACATAACCTCATATAACATTCTGAAAACATTAAAAACGATACAGTAAAAATTATGAATGATCTACTTACTTCGCATGGATATGGGACATATCATATAGTAGTCAGTCTTAATAGTTAGTAATGTCATACCTTCATCCTGCAGAGTGGGTAGTGTGGTGGTGGACTGTCCTGTCTGCCTGGCCTTATAGCCCCTAACCAAGGCTGCACTACCTGGTCTAAACTAGACACAGTGGGAACCACACACCTGTCTGTCCTGGCCTTATAGGCCCCTAACCAAGGCTGCACTACCTGGTCTAAACTAGACACAGTGGGAACCACACACCTGTCTGTCTCTCTTTATGTGTCTGTGTGTGTGTGTATCTGCGTGTGTGTATGTGTGTTTTTGTGTGTGTGTGCATGCGTGCGTGTGTGTGTGTGTGTGTATTGTGGAAGGGGTGAAGGTGGTGGAGAGGGAGGTGTGAAGTATGGGAGTGGGTTTGTGATAAGGGGCTTTTTTTTTCTGCCTTTTTTTTCTTATCTGCCCTGTATTTTATTTAGAGGGGAGGCAGTTACCGACACAGGGGTTATGGGAGTACCTCTCTCTATCTCTCCCCGCCCAACCCCATATCTCTCTCTACCAACCTTGGTACTGTAGATTTACGTAGTCCGGCCTTGCTACCCCCAGCTCTCCCCTCCAGAGACTGCCTCAGCATGCAGAGGACTGGCCCAGTGTTGATGCCTCATTATGGGGAGAGTGTAAATCTATCTCCAGGCTTCTCTCTGGGCCTGCTGATGGATGGCCCGAAGAGGCCTCTCGCTCGCTCCCCAGCAGGATACGTGATGGGCCGTGTGTGTCTGTGTGTGTCATCATATTATTATATTATTATATTGTAATGACCCCAAGGTCAGAAGGGACAGAAGATCCATATGCCGTCTACTCCCTTCATTTTCTCTCCTCCCTCTCTCCCCTCTTTAATGCAGCTTTCTCATGGACCTGGAATGAGGGATGGAAGCCACGTTGATTAACGCTAATAAATAACAACACATGCACGCACGCACGCACGCACACCACACACGCACACACACACACACACACACACACACACACACACACACACACACACACACACACACACCACACACGGTCCCTTCACTGTGCAATGCTGGCATACCCCACTTGGGGGCAGTACTCTCCCTTTCTCTGTCTGACTGTCTGTCTGTTTAACTATCTGTCTGACTGTCTGTGTTTAACTATCTGTCTGACTGTCTGTCTGTCCATCTGTGTGTCTGTCTGTCTGCCTGTCTATCTGTCTGCCTGTCTCTCTGTCTGCCTACCTGTCGGTCTGTCTGCCTCTCTGTCTGTCTCTCTGACTGTCTCTCTGACTGTCTGACTGTCTGTCTATCTGTCTGTCTGTCTGTCTGCCTGTCTAACTGCTTGTCTGCCTGTCTGTCTTTCTACCTGTCTGTCTGTCTGTCTGTCTGTCTGTCCTATTCACTCTCTGTCTCTGAAAGTCTCTTTCCTTCCCTCACCTCACCCGCCCTCCTCCCTCTCCTCCATATCTCCCTCCCCCTACTTCCCTCACTCCTCCCGCTCCTCTACATCTCCCTCCCCCTCCCTCACCCTCCTTCCCTCCCTCCTCCCTCTCCTCCATATCTCCCTCCCCCTACCTCCCCCTCCTTCCTCCCTTTCCTCCATATCTCCCTCCCCCTACCTCCCCCTCCTTCCCTCCCTCTTCCCTCTCCTCCATATCTCCCTCCCCCTACTTCCCTCACTCCTCCCGCTCCTCCACATCTCCCTCCCCCTCCTTCCCCCTCCTTCCCTCCCTCTTCCCTCTCCTCCATATCTCCCTCCCCCCTCCCTCACCCTCCTTCCCTCCCTCTTCCCTCTCCTCCATATCCTTCTCTCCCCCTACCCTCCCCCTCCCTCTCCTCCATATCTCCCTCCCCTACCTCCCCCTCCTTCCCTCCCTCCTCCCTCTCCTCCATATCTCCCTCCCCCTACCTCGCCCTCCTTCCCTCCTCCCTCTCCTCCATATCTCCCTCCCCTACCTCCCCCTCCTTCCCTCCCTCCTCCCTCTCCTCCATATCTCCCTCCCCCTACCTCCTCCTCCTTCCCTCCCTCCTCCCTCTCCTCCATATCTCCTCCCCCTACCTCGCCCTCCTTCCCTCCTCCCTCTCCTCCATATCTCCCTCCCCTACCTCCCCCTCCTTCCCTCCCTCCTCCCTCTCCTCCATATCTCCCTCCCTCCTCCCTCTCCTCCATATCTCCCTCCCCTACCTCGCCCTCCTTCCCTCCTCCCCTCTCCTCCATATCCCTTCTCCCCCTACCCCCCCCTCCCTCTCCTCCATATCTCCCTCCCCCTACCTCGCCCTCCTTCCCTCCTCCCTCTCCTCCATATCTCCCTCCTTCCCTCTTTTCCCCCCCTCTCCTCCATATCTCCCTCCTTCCCTCTCTCCCCCCCTCTCCTCCATATCTCCCTCCCCCTACCTCCCCCTCCTTCCCTCTCTCCTCAGTCTCAGAGTGAGATTAGAATCACCAGAAAGCAGATATTAGGATTTCCAGATAGATATCTCAGACAATATCTCTCCCCCCACCTCTGTCACACTCCCTCCGTCCCTCTCTCCTTCCTTCTGTTATCAATGAGTTGTCTCCCCCTCTGCCCTTCATGTCACTCACAGCTGCAGGTTGATGAGAGAGAAGGAGAGAAAGAGAGAGAGAAAGAGGGAGGGAGGGAGGGAGTGAGAGACAGAGAGAAAAAGAGAGAGAGCAAGCAAGCATGTACAACTTTCTTTCTTGAAAAATGAAGATATGGATATTATACAGCTTCAGACACCACACACACACACACACACACACACACACACACACACACACACACACACACACACACACACACACACACACACACACACACACACACACTACACACACTACATGGCTAAAAGTATGTGGACACCTGCTCGTCGAACATCTCATTCCAAAATCATGGGCATTAATATGGAGTTGGTCCCCCCTTTGCTGCTATAACAGCCTCCACTCTTCTGGGAAGGCTTTCCACTAGATGTTGGAACATTGCTGCGGGGACTTGCTTCCATTCAGCCACAAGAGCATTAGTGAGGTCGGGCACTGATGTTGGGCGATTAGCCCTGGCTTGCAGTCGGAGTTCCAATTCATCCCAAAGGTGTTAGATGGGGTTGAGGTCAGGGCTCTGTGCTGGCCAGTCAAGTTCTTCCACACCGATCTCAAACAAACTATTTCTGTATGGACCTCGCTTTATGCACGGGGCATTGTGATGTTGAAACAGGAAAGGGCCTTCTCCAAACTGTTGCCCCAAAGTTGGAAGCACATAATCATCTAAAATGTCATTGTATGCTGTAGCTGGATTTCCCTTCACTGGAACTAAGGGGCCTAGCCCAAACCATGAAAAACAGCCCCAGACCCTTATTCCTCCTCCACCAAATTTTACATTTATTTTCGAACGTATACACCTGTAAGCAACGGGTGTGGCTGAAATAGCCGAATCCACTGAAAAGGTGTCCACATACTTCTGCCATGTAGTGTTTTTCCTTTCTGCTGATAGAAGTGTAGAAAATATCTGTTCCTTCAGGGCTTTCTAACTGGTGTAAGTTTGAAGTGTGTATGTGTGTGTGTTGGCAGGACAGCTTGTTATAGAATCATCTGTTCCATCTCCTGTATCCTACTGAGAAACAAGCTGGTCACACACAAGCACACACACACACACACACACACACACACACACACACACACACACACACACACACACACACACACACACACACACACACACACACACACACACACACACACACACACACACACACACACATACGCATACACACACACACACACACACACACACACACACACACACACACACACACACACACACCACACACACACACACACACACACACACACAAGCATACACACACACACACACACACACACATACACACACACACATACGCATTAACACACCACACACACACACACACCCACACACACACACACACACACATACACATACACATACAATACCGGTCAAAAGCTTTACACACCTACTCATTCAAGGGTTTTTCTTTATTTTTACTATATTTTACGTTGTAGAATAATAGTGAAGACATTAAAACTATGAAATAACACATCATCATCATGTAGTAACCAAAACAGTGTTAAAAAAATTATTTTATATTTGAGATTCTTCAAATAGCACCCCTTTGCCTTGATGACAGCTTTGCCCACTCTTGGCATTCTCTCAACCAGCTTCATGAGGTAGTCACCTGGAAAGCATTTCAATTAACAGGTGTGCCTTCTTAAAAGTTAATTTGTGGAATTTATTTCCTTCTTACAGTTTTTTCCAACTGCTTACACACAAAATCTTTTCATGTCACACGATTTTTGAAACCTCTCACTCAAAGTGCAAAACTACACACAAAATCTCCAAAACCATAAGCTATTTCTCAGCCTTTGACTCAGTTGTCAATTGCATAAAACACTTTTTTCAAAACACTACACACAATTCTCTACCTAAAACACAAAAATCTAACAGGAAGTGACTTGCTTTCCTTTTCCAAACACAACCAATCAAAATGCTACACTTATTCACCAGGTCAAACACACTCTCCTCACATGTTCAAACACTAATTGCTTAACTGATCACTAACCAATCACTGCTTTACTCTAGTATAGGACTGTTTTGAACAATGGATGACAACAATGGACAGAGAGCAAGAGGAGTAGGAGGGAGAGGCAGGGGACAACAACGAGGACAAATTCAAAGACGAATAGTTGGAAGAGGAGGAGTAGGAGGTAGAGGAAGAGGAAGAGGAAGAGGAAGAAGAGGACGAGGGCAAAGAAGAGAAGGAAGGAGAGCCATCTCTGATGAGATTAGTGTCACGCCCTGGCTCTGGGACTCTGTTATGTTGAGCCAGGGTGTGTTGTTTCTTTGTGTTTTGTGTGCTAGGGTGATATTCTAGTTCATTTGTTTCTATGTTGGCCAGTGTGGTTCTCAATCAGAGGCAACGTGAATCAGCTGTTGCTTGTTGTCTCTGATTGGGAACCATACTTAGGCAGCCTGTTTTCCACAGTGTGTTGTGGGATCTTGTTCCGTTTGGTTTGTGTAACCGTAGGACTGCACGTTTCGTATCGTTTGTTGTTTTGTTCTGGAATAAAAGAAGTATGTTCACTTATCACGCTGCGCATTGGTCCACTTCTTCCTCCAGCGATCGTGACAGAAGATCCCACCTTAACTGGACCAAGCAGCGTGTCCAGGAGCCAACGCCAGAGAGGACTCTAACGAACATCAACCTCGACTGGGTCAAGCCGCGGGAGGAGGAGAGAGGCTGGACTTGGGAGCAGAGGAGCAAGAGTCTGGCGAGAGCCATGGAGGCCTGGCCCACGGGGAGGAGAGACGGCCATACATTTTTTAGGGGGGGCTCACGCCGTGGACGACGGGGCAGCAGGAGGCCGCCAGGTTACGGGAGTCACTGGTCACCAGGGGGAAGGAGGATGTAGAGGCACGGTGAGAGGTACTGGGGTGTGTTGCCAGTCCGGTCCGGCCCGTTCCTGATCCCCGCGTAGGGCCAGTGGTGTGTGTCCCCAGTACGGTCCGGCTTGTTCCTGTCCCTCGCACCGAGCCTGTGGTGCGCGTCGCCAGCCCGGTCCGGCATGTTCCTGCCCCTCGCACCAAGCCTGTGGTGCGCGTCGCCAGCCCGGTCCGGCCTGTTCCTGCCCCTCGCACCAAACCAGTGGTGCGCTTCGTCAGCCCGGTTTGGCCCGTCCCTGCTCCCCGCACCAAGCCAATGGTGCACGTCGTCAGCCCGTTCCGGCCTGTTCCTGCTCCCCGCACCAAACCAGTGGTGCGCTTCGTCAGCCCGGTTCGGCACGTCCCTGCTCCCCGCACCAAGCCAGTGGTGCGCTTCGTCAGCCCGGTCCGGCCCGTCCCTGCTCCCCGCACCAAGCCTGTGGTGCGCGTCGTCAGTCCGGCACAGCCCGTGCCTGTTCCACCGGTGCCTTGTCCGGCACCGGTCAGCTGCTCCACTCCGGAGCTAGAGCAATCCGCTCCACCAGTGTTCAATCCAGCTCCGGCCAGCAGGGCCAGACCGGACCAGGGGCGCTTTGGGGGGTTAGAGAGGGAGTGGGGGTCATGCCCGGAGCCGGAACCGCCTCCGAGGAGGAATGCCCACCCGGCCCTCCCCTGTTCGGTTTATGTTTGGCGCGGTCGCAGTCCGCGCCTTTGGGTGGGGGGTACTGTCACGCCCTGGCTCTGGGACTCTGTTATGTTGAGCCAGGGTGTGTTGTTTCTTTGTGTTTTGTGTGCTAGGGTGATATTCTAGTTCATTTGTTTCTATGTTGGCCGGTGTGGTTCTCAATCAGAGGCAACGTGAATCAGCTGTTGCTTGTTGTCTGATTGGGAACCATACTTAGGCAGCCTGTTTTCCACAGTGTGTTGTGGGATCTTGTTCCGTTTGGTTTGTGTAACCGTAGGACTGCACGTTTCGTATCGTTTGTTGTTTTGTTCTGGAATAAAATAAGTATGTTCACTTATCACGCTGCGCATTGGTCCACTTCTTCCTCCAGCGATCGTGACAATTAGGGCAACACTTGTTGATCATGTGATCAACCACGGTT